AAGAGAGAGAGAGAGAGAGAGAGAGAGAGATGTAGATATACTGTTATGCTGGATCTATCGTTTGTAAGTCATTATTTCTTATTTACTACTACTATATAATTAGTTCTTATTTACTACTATATAATTAGTGCTCGATTTTAAGTGTATCTACGTAAAATATCTTGCAGAGAATACATATGTATAGCGTGCATAGAGCTGGATTGTAGCGAGTGTTTTGGAACGGCACAAAGATAGTCAACTCGTGACTCTTGTCGATGTATCGCTCTTGCAGTCACTTCTCACGTGTCGGAGATGTGCATTCGTACCCTTTGATGTTTGCGTCCAAAGTCAACTTCACTTCGGATTTACCTCGGCTTCGCTCGTGGAAATCAACAAAGTGTCTTCACAAGGGGATTTGCCATTTCCCGTCGTTTCTACCAGTCTCTATCAGCCGCTCAACACTTGTTACCATGTTCATGTTGATCGGTCAATTCTGTGAGATGTATGTACCAAGAGCTCGTTCAGTAGGCTAGAAAGTAAGCATTCTCTGCCCAGTCAAAACACCAGTCATGGTCTGTTGAACTCTCTGAAACTTCATGACTCCACAACTCTCGCTCTCCATGTGGTTAACCAGAGGCGCCAGAGCTTTGAATTGCTTTCCACATCCTCGGCCAGGGCAGTGATAGATGTTTTGCTTGTGAGCCGGTGAGCTCAGGTGTTGGTTCAGTGACCGGAGCGCACTGTACGACCTGGAGCAAAGACCGCACTGATAGCCATGGCCATTCCAGCTCGCGGCGGTGGCGATGGATTCGGAGTTGTCTTCGCCGTGCCAGGCGATTTGCTTGTTGGTGATGACTCCCGTGGTGTCGCGTTGGTTGATCATCTTGTAAATGAACTCGCGGTTCACTTGCGGCGCGCGTGGGCAGGAGCCGGTCTCGACGTGGTGCACTACGCCGCTTGCCGTAGTATGAGGTTTCTTGCAAAAGGGGCAGGAAATGCTTCCAGCTTGGTGTGCGGAGCTATTGAGATGCTGATACGTATAGATCAGCAGAAGTATACGATGAGATGAATTGAGAATTCTACTTCAGGCATACCGTTCTCAGATTATTTGCATTTTGGAAGCCACGCTCGCATGCATCGCACCAGTTCAGACGCCAGTGGTCGCGCCTGTCCATGTGATCTCGGGCTTGCTGTTTAGTATAATACTTTTTGCTACATGCTTCGCAGCCGTATTTGGGACCCCAATGGCCGTATTCGTCCATATGCTGGTCCACCCTATCCTCGTGAATGGAAGAGAAGTTGCACGTCTCGCACTCGTGGACCTTCCAGTGATTGAGGGCGTTCATGTGCTGGGCGGCAGCTGAGTAGCTTCCGAATTGACGGGAGCAAGTCTCGCATTCTTCCATGTTGGGCTGGTTGGTGGTGCGTGTACACGAGGATTACCGATTGAGATGTCTGGTTGTGGTCTTGGTGTAGTCGGCGGCGGGAGATAGAGGTATGGCGAGTGGAAGGGGGTAAATACCTAGTAAGCCCCGTTTGCCTGCCAAGCACTAGACATGGAACAGTCCCCAGTGGAACCCAGAACTTACCAGATCCGGCACCCAAAATGTGACAGGTCGGTCGGCCCCCGGGATGCTCGTCTGAGTTGTCTGCGCCCTTTGAACAAACACATAGGTAGTAACATACCTACATGTAATCAATCACAACACAAGAAGTAAGGTCCTCTCGGTGCTGCACTACTCTCTCCGACCCAAGCAACTCGGTATGTAGCCATATTGCAGAGGACGAAATCCCCATTGACCTTACTACTACGCCAAACATGCAGCCAGCTATAGGGCGCCCTTATAGAGGCTTATGATACGCTAGCTAACACGTTATCGTACGACTTGGCTTTAGCAGAAACGAGGGGCTTGAATCCTTGATAGGTATGTAACGTATCCCAAACTCTGATGATTGATAGTGGCTATCGGCGACGATAACAGCCTCTGAAGTCTTGTAAGTTGTACGGTATTGCTTCCAGGAAAGCCCCTTACTCGTGGCATATAGGACCCTATAACCGGGACGGCAGAGCACATTGGATATAAGATAATCATAAGTGACAGGTTTGTCGTTGCGAGAGAATAAGTCATTTGCAGTACAAACAATACCTGCAGTCGGGTAGTCACTGATTGTGAGGCAGGTTGCGGCACTGTACATATATACCTTTGAAAGACCCACAACAGCCTGCAACGTGTGCGGACTGCCGTGATGCAGTCCTTTAGCTAGCGTCCGATCTGCCGTAGCGAATAGCACTCGTAGTCCTGTGGTGACTGTGGTCACATGTCTGCCAAGATATTAGCTGATATTTCTGCTATTTTTCTCATTTTACACTATGCGATGGAATCCTTGAGCACTATACACTACTTGACCCTGTTGCGATGTACCGTAAACTTGTAAAGTATGAACGCATGGACGAGCGTGAATGTTTCTTCCAGCATTGGCCCGGTCGAGGTTTCGTACGAAGCTGAAGGCTGAAGCTCGCTGCGAACTCCTACTAGAGTCCCAGCGTGCTGGCAGCGTGCTGGATGACCTGGCAGTACCTGTACCTACCAGGCAGGTTCCGCATGAGCGAGACCGCTTTGGGCACCGGATAGACTACCCTCGAAGACCCTGCTCGCCTACGACGCAATATGACCCAAAACGTCCAAGATGGATTGTAGGTATAGACATGTTCACGTGTGAGATGTCTCGAACAGCTACCTGCTAGGTCACTGACTCTAGTGCGCGAGAGCTATGTCGCATCTCCTCTACTCATGAGTCCTACCGTGAAAAGACGGCATTTTCAACTGCCACTTGCAGGGGTGCAAACCCTTCTACTAATAGCGATCCTCGACAAGGAATGAATCCTGCTGCACTCTGAACGGCTGTGGAAGGTGACTAAGTCCTGTACCGAATGTACAGGTACTATAGGAACACCAACGTCCCTAGCCGAGACACTCTATTCCAGAAGCCCGGGGCCGCACAGCGTTTTCAGAAGGTGAAACGTTGAAACGTGTGTCGTGCGGCTTACGCGATTACCGCCACGAGGAGCTTGCTCTGTTCAGCTCCAGCTACGAAGCTTGTTATTTTTCTTCCTTCCATTTGGAGAAGATAGGTACCTACAAGCATGACGGGAGAGAGCAGGCAGCATGCCATTTTCACGAGAGTCACGAGAGTGGGAAATTGTGTGTACCTACACTCGCGATTCAACTCGGGAAATTAATCAGCAGTCGAAATTGGTTGAAGATGAATCAAACATGGTTTGAACTTGGGCCAATATTCTCGAATGCTGCAAAAAGCGAAAAAGAAAACAAATATCAGAGAAGTAGATCATCATCATCATCATCATCATCATCATTATCATCATCATCATCATGTACTAGAGACCAAGCGCCCGCCCGAAGGGTCCACGACTCCGCGGTCAGTACGCAGCTAGAACTGCACTGCACTGCCCCATCATATCTCAGCAAATGCAGCGCCATGTCGTGGCCGAAACGGATAGCTCCCTCTAGTTCGAGTGCTTTGACATATTTGATTTGTTTGATGCCAATGGAGTTGAACATGTCATTGTTACAAGTGGCAGCGTCCTCCAACGGCCACCAGTCGGAAAATGATCCCCGCGTCGAGTCGTGCAGACCACAGCAGGTGCGCGGTGGTGGCCAATCCAAATTGCACGCTTGAGTCGTGGAGTGGATTTTTGTTATTATTATTGTCATCGAGATTCAGATTGTTCTCTTGCGCTGCGCAGGAGCCGGCAATGGGCCTTGCGGCGGAGTTGCCCGGACGAGTCGATCGTTGTCTCGGCAGGCGGCCTACTCCATCCCACAGCATCATTCTACCTTCCATATTGGCACACATGGCCGCGCGTGCTGCTTCCGAGTCGTTGTCTGCCGCACGTTCTGGCATCGTCTGGGAGCTGTACAGGCAGCCCCAGTCGAATGCGCGTGGCTGAGCTCTCGGAGACGTCGTGAAGCTCGCGTGGGCTTGCTTTTGCGCCGCACCGAGCAGCGGCGGCTCGGGCACCGGCTGCAACGAACGGTCGGTGATGATGGTGGAGAGGGGCGAGTGGAAAGTAGATGGGCGCTGTGGGCGCAAGTAGTCGAGTGGAGTCTAGCGGGTGGTGGTAAGAGAGCGGTCGAGAGCTTCTATTGCCCGTTTTGGCGTGTTGACGGTGGCAGAAGCAGACGGGAGAGGCGACGGGAAGAGAAAGGGTTCAACCTCACACAGGCTACTGCACCTGCAGAGTTGAGGCGGCCGTTCCAGCTTCGAGGGCCACCTGCAGCCGCATCCATCTCATCACGTACGGTACCCATCATGTCTGCCTTCTTCTACTACTACTACTACCACCACCAGTCGGCGCTCCCCCTCCTCTTGCTTCTCCTCCTCTTTCTCCTCCTACTATGCGTAAGGCTGTCCCGTTGCCTTCGGCTCGAGCGGCACCCTCTTCTCGTCACACCACTGATCCATCTTTCTTCTCTGCCCCCGCCGCTGGCCTCTGGCATCCATCCTCCCACGTATGTCCCCGCGATATCACCTGTACCCGCAGCCCCGAGCAAGTCCCAGAATGAGCAGCGCCGTGCGAGATGTCTCCCCCGTGGGAGCTTCTCGCTTCGAGATGCCCTTTGATGCCCCCGACGACGTGCGAGTCGTCAAAAGCGCCTCCAACTCCGCTGCTGTCTCTCCTACCTCGCCTGGCTTCCCTGCTGTTCGCTTCAGCAACTTCAGCAAGCCCTCACGGCACACCATGACCGACTCGGTCTTCTCCCAGCGCACTACCGAGACTGAGGCCACATCAGCACCCTCTATGGCATCGAGTGATGATCCGCGAGAGTCGAAGGATGACCACATCCACGTCGTCTCTCCTGACGATTGGTTTGCACGATTCCGCTCGGATGATGATCTCGGAGGACTGGTCTCTGACGACTGTCCTGATCGTGCGACCCTCGCAGCGGTGCAAGACATCCCCATCTACGATGCCGAGGGGAAAGCCATCCCATTCGGCTCCCTTCACAATCCAGCCACAGCGACCCATCAGCGACAGCTCGTCATCTTTATCCGCCACTTCTACTGCGGTGCATGTCAAGCATACTTGCAAGCTCTCACCCACAGCATCACCATGCGTGACTACTTCTCCATTCCCATCCCGACATCCATCATCGTGATTGGATGTGGAAAGCCGGATCTGATTCCCCACTACAAAACCTTCACAAATTGTCCTTTTCCCATGTACGCCGAACCGACGAGAGAACTGTTCAAGAAGCTCGGCATGACTCCATCCTTGAATATTGGAACGCAACGACCTGAGTATATGAGTGACATTAGCACTGCTTCCTGGGCAGTGGGCCAATTCAAGACAGTGAATGACAGTTTGAAGGATCCTGATGGAATCAGAAAGCGAGACATCATTCGCGGTGGCAACCCTTTCCAGATTGGTGGCGAATTCCTCTTCGATGATGGGGCGGTCATCTGGTGCCATCGTATGAAGAATTACCGAAATCATGCCGAGATCAAGGTGCTGAGGAGGTTGCTGGAGCTTGATGAGTGACAATCAACTCCTCCCCCGAAAGCAGCCGAGATTCACGACTCGGCCGGGGGAGGGGATGATGACGATTATAGCAGAGTCGCTTCCGTGATTTCTGGCTATGGCAGTATGACGAGTTTGCAAGATGATGATGCCAGGTCAGGACGGACCTTGACACCGAGACCAGCGAGCAGACCTGGTTGACACATCAGCAATAACATGTCGCCGCTGCACCCTACCGCCTCTGCTGCAGCAGCAGGCTGTGTGAGGGCACCGCCGAACGCATGTGTACATCGCTGACGTCTCCGGCGCCGGGCCAGGCTCGCCAAATTTCTAAGGGCCCATCGAGACGAACGTGAGGAACGACAGATGACGTGTCACATGACAATCGGATTGCAGTCGCACTGATGAAGTGAAATTGATAACTTGTCAACACGATCGAAACGTTGTCATACTTTGAACGCGAGACGACACGACATCAAGGTGGAAGAAGTTGTCCACCAACGCCGAGGTTACACGATTGGAAACAGAAATGGATCAACTCGGCCCAGGCACCGCCAAGCAACGCAGAAGACTGGACGCTTCTGTGAGAAGGGGGCAATGCACAAGACACACAGCATGCAAGACACGTTCTTCAGGAGGAAGACGAATGATGTCCATGAGTATCCTGGAAGGATGAAACGCCAACACACTTGACAACAGGAAATCCAGGAGAAAGCAATACCCACAGGCTGGGAATCCAAACAGCATCAACATCAACATCGAAGATTGTTGATAACAAGAAGAACGAAACGCAGCGGTCTGCATCGCTACCATCTATCTATTCATAGCTGCTTATACAAAGTACATGTCGTACAACATGTATGTACATAATGTTTTTAAATAAACTTCTTCTCGTGAACGACACCTCGAACTTGTACTCCGCTCAGGTAGTACCGGAGGTAGGTAGGATCCACATACCGGTTGAGTATACCTCTCTATTAGGAAGGATCACTTTTTGCATGTGAAAGCGTGCATGGATAGGATGCTCCTTACGTCATGCTTGACACGCTGACGTACCTCAGCTACAGTAGATATACTAGAGGACTCCCGTAGCGTACTCCCTAAGGTAGAACTCGACCTTCTATTAAGGTATCCGTCTTACACAGCAAAGCAGTAACAGTATGAAAATCCCAATGAAATCGTGAAAGAAGAAGAAGAAGAAGAAGAAGAAGAAGAAGAAAAAGCCGCAGCCGGATTTAGTAATAACAACAACTAAGAGACTAGCTCGATGTCAGGTATCGTACTATTCAAAACGCCGTAGGAGTTACTAGTTTATAGGAAACAGACGATAATACCTTCGACAAGAAGCGGTAGAGGGTGTTAGGCGCTATAATGTTGTGTACCTAATGTAACAGTAGTAGTCCCCTTGTATCGAGCTAAAGTCGTTCGTTCGCAGTTGGGTACGATAGCAGAAAAGGTAGAAACATCTGTTGATAGAGCATACAGCATATAGGCATCTCGGGTAGGCATCTACTATAACTGCCGAGGTAAAAGGAAAGGGATTAAGGCAACCTCGTAGATATATAGCACAGCTGATAGCCACTCGATTGACAATCATAGATCTCTTATCTTTGCTTATTCAAACAACATCCTAGTCTTATTGTAAAAGTTCGAAGCGCTATAGATCCAGAAGAGGGAAGGATACTTTAAGAGGGAAAAAAAGTCATTCTGATCTGATTTGGCTCTGGTTTCTGCCGTGGTGATGTATCGTGATGGTTTCGTTAATACCTAATTATTGATGCTTCCAGAATAGATTCCTCCAAGACCATGATATCGGGGCAGGCTGAACAGTGGCACGCTCCTTGGGAAGCAGTGAAGTAGGTACGGCGGTGTCTGGACCCTTCGTCGCGGCTGTCGTGGAAACACCCCTGTCAAGTCCCGTCGCAACAGATGCATTCGTAGAAGAAGTACCAGCCGGGGAGTAAACCGGCGTAATAGCAACATCATTCGCCTGCTCCATGATTTGTCTCCCAGCATCATCAGCAGCATCAGCAGCACTATCCACCACCACAGACTTAGTCGGCCAAAACGTCCACGCGGCGAACCCCGTAGCAGTAGCCACCGAGAGCAAGATTAAAAATCCCGCAGATCTCGTCTCTTCCCGCATTCTCTGCCTCTCCTTTGCAAGCGCCTCAAGCTTCTCCTGCAAAATTCGAGTCCCTCGAGACTCCCGTCTCCGTAGACGTCGAACTACCCGTGCTACTTGACTTCTCTGCCGAGCGGAATCTGCGAGTATGGCTCGTCCGGCTGCGAGAGCTTTGCTATCCCAAGCAGGTACTACTACATTATGTGATTTTTTGAAAGCTGGTTTCGCCGTTGATGATGATGATGATGATGATGATACTGGTGTTGTACCATTTTGCAAAAACTTCTCGACGTTGCTTGTGGGGACAGGATAAGGGTCGATTTCACTCGTCTTGATGAGTTTCAAATTCGGACTATGCTCGTAGCGGTCGAGTTTGGATCTCTTGTTGAAGTGCTGCGTTTCTCGTGCGTTGGAGAGGGCGGCGAGCTGGAAGAGTATGCTTGCTCGTGCTCCGCCGCTCGTTGAGAAGTTTCGTGTAGCGGCGTTGCGGGAGATGGGAGATAAGGAGATGGTCATTTTTTGGAGATATAACTTAGGTATGTACTGAAGTATGAAACAGGGAACGCAGTCACTTGGAAGGTGGACGTTTACTGCCATCTATCTATCTATCTATAGATTGGCCATTATCTGAGATGCGGGGTAGACTGCCGTGGGGTGTGGAGTGAGTGACTGTCATCAACATCGGCCGGATCAACTGGTTATTCCGAAAGGTCTCTCCCTCTCTCTTCCCATCTCTGTCTCTCTACAAAAACTGCCAAGTTCTACATCACTCGTAGCAATGCCAGCGACAAAAGGAAACACTATCCAAGATTTTCAACTATATATACATTGGTATGGATACATAATAAATTGGTGTAAGACCTTGTGATATCCTTTGCCCCTTCCATTTCTCTCTTTCTCTTCCCCTTGCCCGATTCCTGGTCCCCTTTTCTATCCCATTATTTGAAAAAAGCCTCCCCTTTCCCAATTCCAATTCCATTCCATTCCATCGCCCGCCCCCTTTTTTTGGTCCGAAATATATCACACTATTTATTTGCTTATATACACACTCCTAGAGACGGACACAAAAAAAAATCTCCATTATCCCCCACCCCCCTCCATCCAAAAAAAAAAAAAGTTCTCAAAGTAAAATCTTCATCCCCTCCGGACTCAACACATCTCCCACCTCAAGTAACTTACTCGTTTTTCCCTTTGTCTGCTGACCTTCCATTTTCTTCGACCCCCCACTCCCACTCCCACCATTCTCCTCTTCTTCCACAACAGTCTGAATAGTCCCTCTCATCCCGTCCCTCGCAGCAGCAGCAGCAGCAGCAGCAGAAGCCGAAGAAGAACGACCCGTCATATGCGTTGTCAAGCGACTTACGCGGGCCGCGACGCGATAGCGACTGAAATGTACTGCTTTGGCTTTTTCGGGAACTGCGGAGGAAGAGGAAGATGAAGAGGAGGAGGAGGAGAAAGAAGGGGGAGCTTCTTCACCACAGACGTTTCCGATGAGGACTTTCGGTTGAGGAATTGTGGTTGGATGAGGTGGTGGGGGAGGGGAAGGAGGGAAATTTTGTTGTTGTTGTTGGGAACCTCCGCCTCCTCCGGAGGAAGAGGAGGAATTGGTCGTGGTGGTAATGGATGTAGTGGTCGTGATGGATGTGCTAGCCGGGTCGGGTTTGTTGTTGTTGCTGCTGCTGCTGGAGTTTTGATAAGAGAGGTATTCAAATACGTCAATGCCGGGTCTTCTTCGACGTGTTCCGCTGGCATTGCCGGCTTTGGCGTTATCCGCGGTAATGGTGGTGGTGATGGTAGTGGCATTGAGGAATGTCGGACCGGACGGAGATGGGGAAGGAGGAGGTTGCGACTTTTGCCGTGAGGGTGCTGGTGGTACATGGCAGGAAATGTCCCCGAACATGCTATTCCTCATCACCGGTGCACTGCCGCGCATGGCTACAATCGGTGGCAAATCCCGTTGCAAGGCCAGCAAATCCTCGTATGGTGGCTTTTTCGGAATGGGAGGAGGAGCTTTCCGCGGAGGAGCGGACTTTTCTTGGGTATCCTTGGTGGAAATCGATGGTGGAGTAATCGTGCCACCTTCAGATGCGATGGAATGAGGACGAGCCCTGATACTAGGACCCTCGTGCGTGAACGGGTCGGGCTGCTTCGATTCACCTTCTCCTGAAACCCACTTACCCACTTGCGGCACGATTTGGATTTCATCTACTGATATTCCTGATAAAACAGACGCCACACTCGCTCTGCTCGCATCATCAACAATCCCGGGACTTGGCAGTGGTCTGGCGAACATGGTCGAAGATTCTGGGCTAGCGGGACCACGGGGGCGTGAAAAGGAAACACGACTCCTTGGGATCGGTGTACGTTCGAATCGACCATTGGCGAGCTCTCCGAGACCGCTACCAGAGATGGTATTGGGTTGCTGCATAGATGTTCTTGACTGCGACGACACAGTCGATGTCACGCTTCGGACACTTTGGTTGCTATCGCGATGCGGAAGGGTAGGTCGAGTGGGAGCAGTCGGGGAGGTCATTTCCATCACTGACATCGAGGACAAGGTGGACGCAATGCTAGTGGTGCTCCTGTTGATGTTGCGATTGGGAATAGGTAGCGGACAGCTGGGCGGACTTCGATGCATCATGGGAGGCGAGTCTAGTGATGAGCTTGTTGCTGGCGACCTGGTGGCAGCTTGGCGTGCAGACGAGGAACGTGTAGGTGTGGTCTTTGGTACAGGAGTGCTGTTCAGTCGAGAACCGTCTGGGGCTTGCCCTTTGCTATTCCTTGCTTCCACACCATTGCCACTCCGTTCGGGAGTTTGGAATTCCTTCTTGAGAGGCTCCCACGTGCTCCCCTTTTTCCTCAACGCTTCTTGCCACTGGACGTTCCTGGCGGTGCAAGCGGCGGCATCGTGCGCGGTAGCGTGCTCATGGAACTCGCAGAGGTTCAAGCGCCAACTAGGAGTCTGCTCTCGTAGCTTGGGAAAAATTCCTTTCGTAAACTGGTATTCCAGCAAGTCGTGTAAAAATTGAGGCGGCAAAAGTTGCGCATACCCGCTTCGATCGCGAGGAAGCCCTCGGAACGTGAAAGCCGCTTCCTGGATGAGATAACTGCACAGTGGAGATTTGGGGAGATTGAGCTCGTACGCCAGACGGAGATTATCTGGCAGTGAGCTGGCGTACGGATGGCCACTTTCACGTTGCTCCACGAACTTGTCCATGATGGCATTACGAAGACTGGGGATCTTCATCCGGGTCGCAAAGGCGTACAGGTGGATCAGGTCCTGTTGATGCTTCCTCACCAGAAATCGAGCTTCATTGGTCTCTTGTTCTGCTTCTGGTTCGCGGGCGCAGGTTGCTGGAGTGATTTCATTGGCGCCAGCAGCCTCGTTGTTGTCGTTCTCGTCGTCCATTTCCTCGTCATCGTCATCATCGTCGTCTTCGTCGTCGTCGTCGTCGTCATCTTCGTCATCTTCGTCATCATCATCATCAACGTCTTCTTCAGTGTCTGTAGTGCTGTCTGCTTTGGTCTGACTCGAGACGTCGTCGGAATCTGTAGAGACATCAATACCCGAGTCGCGAGTGCAGCACTCTTCTTCAGTACTGCTGCGTTGTCGCTCCTTGCCCTTGGGAGATCGCGGTACGCCTCGTGGAGTTGTCGTCACTCCCACCACCCTCCCTTTTACCTTCTCCCTTTCGACAGGCGTTCGGGGATGAGCAATCAGGATGTCACCCATTCGTTCTTCCATTCGTTCTTCCTGTATTGTCGGCAGACAAATCTCCGCAGAATAGAGCCAGGAAGCGAAGAGCGCAAAGTCTCTCGGCTGCTCATCTAGTAGGACCACTCGATCGTGAGGAGGACCATGCCAGGCGTCTCCAAAGGTCTCCCAGAAAAAGCCCGAATGGTAGCATGCCAGCTCTTTGTGTAGAGTAAAGGGCACTTGGCCACGGCCCAACAGAACTGTACATGTCCCGCGAAGTAGTCTGCTGCTCAGTCTATTAGTGTCATGTCGATCGGTCATGATGGAGAATGGACATACTGTATAGTAGGTCCCACCACAGGCTGCGGTGGATGTATTGATCGCTCGCCGGCGGTATCAATCGCTCTCGTAAGCCGCACACTGCAAACTTGCTGGTCTGCTTTGCTGAGATGGCAGTGGAAATGGCACGGATTGGTTTGCCAATAAGGACGAGGAGAGTGTCGGTCATGACTTGTGACAATGGTTCGAGGCGGTTCGTGATATCGAGTATGTAGAGCTCGATTGTACGGAGGCGGATACAGGTGAGCCGTCAGCATGAGATCAAGCCAGGAGTCCTTAATGTCGTCCAAGCGTTGAGCCCCCTCGAACAAAAGATAGTCTTGTAGGCGCATCAGATAGGGCTTTTGACTGGGCCCAGATCCACCCAGTGTATCGTCCCATCCGAAGCACCCGGCGGCAAAGACCTTTTCGATGGCAGAGAGAGCAGTGGTTCGACAGTGTTTGTCATTCTGCGTCCACAACCGAGTGATGGCGAGGTTGGCGAGCTCCCATATCTCGTGCCGTGACGCGAACATGTAGACATCAATCAGGTCCTCATCTCGCCACGAGCCGACGGGCTCGACCGTCTTGTGCGCTGCCTTGGCGACCAGACGGGTCGTTGGACGAGGTCGGGGGGCATGTTCGTCGGGCAGAACGAGTTGGCCAGTATACAACCACGCAGAGAAGACGCGGAATAGGCCGAGACTGAGCGAGCGGAGGTCAAATGGACGATCCACGGGACATGGACTGATGTCGCCCAGGAGATCCGAGGCCAGGTCGAGAGTCGCGGGAGCTCCTGGTGTATCGCGGACTTGAAGCAGTGCATCGTGGAAGGCTGGACATCGCTCTCGCAGGAGGTTGGTGTGGAGTGTAAAAGGCACAGCATCGGGTCCAATCTCAAAGGTCTGAACTTCTTGGTAGGCTCCGCTGCAAGGCGATCAGTCAGTAGCGTGGTCACGGACAGCATCCCACTCGCTGGACAATGGGCACGGCAGAAGGAAAACGAAAAGGGAAAAAAAGACGGCACGCACAATCGCCAGAGCTTGAACTCGTACTGAATGGTCCATCTCGCTCGATTAGGCACTTGTTCCTTTGCGGGCGCGTTGACGACGAGGGTCAGCCGCTTGTTGTTGACGGTGGTGGTCTGGGTGGGCTCCATGGCAGCACGTCGTCAAACGCGCGAGAGCGAAAGAGCAGTAGTGTTGTTGCATGTTGACCGACATGAATGTGTTTCAAGCGGCGCGAGAAGAGGTTGTTGGCTTGTGTGTTGGAGGAAATTGAGCACCAGGATAGGAGAAGTTAACCCCTTACTGCATTGGGTTGCGTTACAGGGAGCATGTGTGGCGTGGGTGTGCGGAAGCGAGCCATACCACTCGTATAGCGTGGTTGTTCGGGGGACATTGCTGCAGTTGTCGCTTCGAGTTGGACGACGGAGTGCAGTCCTGATGCTGTATCAGCCTGTCACTGCTGTCCGGTGTGATGTGATGGCGGCCGGCCGGGAAAGGGGATGGGGAAGGGTGGAAGGGGGGAAAAGAGGACCGTGAAGTTAAAAAAATGGTCGGAATAATGACCCCTGACTCCCTTGGCCCTAGGGATACCCTACAGTCCTACAACACCAAAATGACCAGGAACGTATTTTCAAAAAAAAGTCCTCGTTGTCGCCAAGCTCACCGGGGTCCGGGGCCTGAACAATGAATGGTTGATGCTTCCACCGCCAACACCCCGATCCCAGGAGGATGGAACAGGCGGAACACCATTCCCGGCATCGACGAGATTATAAGAATCCTCGTTGTCCTGCTCGAGATCGAAAGTCAAAACGCATCGACCAACTCGCAGGACATTTCCCTTGTACGATACCACAAATCAGCCTGCCTCCATATCTATTATACAACAAGACGAGCCACGACAATGATGTTCCCCAAGGTCTTCTACTACTACCTCTTCACTGGCTTTGCAGTGTTTAATCTCGCTGTTGGTGACGACATCTGCGGCTTTGGTGGCACAAAGTGCCAGCCATGTGCTATCAATGGAGAAACGAATAGTACGTTGTAGGCTCCCTCATGCTAACATATTACTAATGCTACAAGTATAGATCTTGGGCACTGTGTGGCCGACACAAGAGGAAGTGTCTATGGCTACAATTGTGTCCCTACGAGTATCGCCTGTTAGTCGATGGACAAAGCAACGTGAGCATAAGACTGGGGACAATGTGGAAGCGCTCCTGGGGAGGAGAGATGGTCAGAAATGTAGTTGACATGATGTCTTTGGTCGAATTCCTGTAGCCAACATACACACGTAGATATCTTGGCTCGCCCAGCATCTTGGCGACAGTACTTGCAAAACATGGGTATTGCACTTATGTCGGTAGTTCCAACTGGCGTTTCCACTGTGCGGGCCTAGGAGGTACACAGTCCTTCCACCTCCGTTCGATAGTCTATCCGCACCCTGAAAATTACCCAAGACGTATAAGTTCCCGGCTTTTAGATGCAGAATACCCAGCGAGGATCAAGAAAGTGGAGTTATTGCACCTTGCAAGCGGCGAAATAAAGGTGTTTCGCGATTTTGACCCCGGTGAGAATCAAAAAACACGTCCTCCTATACGCTGGACAGGGGTGTACGGATGGACTATCGAACGGCTGTGGAAGGACTGTGTATCATTTCTGGTTACCGAAGCCACTCCATTTGACGGCGTATGCTTGAGTGGAAAGGGGCAAGGGGAAGGGGGGGAAGAAGTGGTGTGACCACTATCATCAGACCGAGTTTTTCCGCAGCGCCTCTCGTCTTCTCTGCCATTCATTGAGACATCCATCTGCTAGGAATCGGCGCTGGTCCATTCAATGGCAAACCACGTGCTCTGAAAGAGTCTTTTGCAATTCGTGGTGTGCAACAGCTTCTTCATCCAGGCCAAACAAAAGGGTGTTTTGCCGATCAGAAGACATGGATTCGTCGCTAGCCCTGTCATGGCCTGTATGCGAGTGTCTTTTTACTCTCCAACAGAGATCTTGAGAGTAGATTCCCTTTCTTGTCGTACGCGGACACCGATGGATCGCAGTATCTTTACTCTTCCTGTGTCGCTACTCATCTTGAAGCATCTCATTCGTTCCATGCCTTGTGACTCCTTCTGTAGAAGAAAGCCACGGAATTCCGAAGCGTCCACGCGCCGTTTGAATTTGTAGCTTCAGCGGGGGGAAGAGAGGACCGCAAAGTCTGATGAAGCAGATGACTCTCTTAGTACTATTGATTATTGATTATCGATTATTGCTCCAAAGAGAGAGAGACTCAAAGAGATATACGACGCCTCAAATCGGACTCATCAACAACACGGGAAAGGGGCGATGAATGTGATGAGCAGCTCGCGAGCCCTTGTAAAAAAAGGGTTTATCGGGCCAGTTCGCCGATACCTACCACGTATACCAGGTAAGGCTGTACAAGCATTACCTCGTGCTGCTCAAACTCAAACTCAAAAAACAAACAAACAAACAAAACATCCCTAAAAACTACCTCCTACCTAGGACCGACTAGGCGGTATGTAATCCGCCGAAAAAACGACAATGTTTCCGCACTACTGTATGTATGTATACGAACGGGAAAATATTGTTCCTGATATACTCTTCTTCTTCTTCTCCTATTCAAAGATGCATCCAATCAAGACCGGCCCAGCATGCCTCTTGCACGTGTAAGGGTACTGAGGTAGAGCCTTACGAGTTACCTACATACCCGACCGTATATCCTTCCCCTGTTCCCCTCGTGCTGAATTGCTATTTTAGAGTCCGAGAGTACGTACGTACTACGTTCTCTTCTCTTCGACGAAAGAAAAAGAGGAAAGACTTTGAGGATAGAAAATATTCCTTCCTAGGTTGTGTGTGTATACTAATTCATTATCATATATCATTGCTTAGGTAAATGTACAGAATATATCATATCTTTTACTACTAGTTGCCTCTTCTCCTTTCTCATGTTTGTTTCTTTTTCGTTACTAGTCACCTCACTTACTCATAGATAACATCCATATTACCACCATTTCATCTCATCATCTCCATCACTCTAAATCCCCACCCCCAAAAAATCCTGCGCAAAACGATACGCCTCCACAGCCGAATAATGCAAATTCAATCCATGACCCGCCACCTCAGCCAAATACGCTCCCGTCCTGCTCGCAGCAGGATACAGTGCAGGAAAAACGGCTTCAGCAAGATTCATCGGAAACGTGCAATTTCCATAACAAAACGGAAAATCATTCGCGCCATTCACGACCGCGACGGGTTTAGTGTAATTCATTGCCGGTCGAGTGGAAGCGGTGAGGGAGAAGAGTTCTCCAAAAGTGGTGGTGCCTTTGGTGGCTTCGGCGAGGTTGAGAATGGATGGGTCGAAGCCGGGAGTGCGGAGGAAGCCGATTTGGGCCGAGATGGCGCTGGAGGAGACGAGGTAGTCGGCTGGGACGGAGGCGAAGCGGTAGGGGGCGTTGTTGGAGGCGAGGGCGAGGTTGAGGGAGAGGAGGAAGGGGGCGACGGCGGAGCTGTTGCCGGTGAAACCGGTGAGGACTGCGGCGTCTATTGGAGGGATTGGTTAGTCTTTTCAATTTGCTGAGGGAGGAGGAGGAGGAGGAAAAGAACATACCAAGATCCGCAGGGTATTGTGAGGTAATGGCTTGGGTAATGATGCTGCCAAAGGAGTGTCCTACGCCAACCACTTTCGAAAAGTGACCAAACTTTCCCGCTCTCAGCATCTGGATGAGCTGATGGGCAATCTCGACTTCCAGAGGAGCTTGGACGACATTGAGTCCATCGGGCGTGTCGGACTTTCCAACCCCCAGACGATCGTAGCTGTATGGAAGAAAAGTATGAGTATGGAGAGACACTCAGCTTGCTTCGCGAGCCGACTGGAAGAGAGGAGAGACTCACAAGAAAGTGGCGTGGTTGTATTGAGCAGCAACATCCACCCAACTGTATCCCGGAGCAAAGTCCCAATAGTATCGATCAAACCCAATACCATGCGTCAAGATCTGCACTTGATCCGGCTGGGTGTTATTGGCGGGCGTGCAGAGCGTAGCTCCAATCTTGTACGTGCCATTGACAGATTGCATGCCGCCCATAATGTCTTGCATAAACGGTGAACCGCTCGTTCCCATGTCCACAAAAGTGCCCGTGACGGAGGATTGGTTAGTTGGAAGGTTGAAATTCTTAAACTTGAGGTTCATGGTGGTGCCGGCCGTCACTTCGACGACGCCGGTCGAGCAGACCGCGAGACCTCCTCGGGCGGGTTGGATAGTGGCATTTTGGAAGCCGGCGGTCGTGGGTGCTTCGATGCCCGCAGGAATGGCTCCGCCAGGATTCGATGGGAGGAAGTCGGAGCTGTACTGTGCAGACGCACTGGCCGCGAGGGCGAGTGCGGAGGTGGAGTAACGCATCGTACCGCAAGTGAAGGGAACGGAAGTCGTAAGTGAAGGCTGATGAACGATGCTGGATATCCTCTGCTTTCTCACAACCAACGCAACACGGGGAGTGGAAGGGACTCGCGTTTAGTACGCGAATGGCAATGGAAGCAGCGGCACCATTTTCTGGTATTGCGCGACATCTGGTCCAATAGCCATGGCGCGCATTGACGACGCCGCGACTCGGATGCCGTTGAACAACACACTATTTGGAAGAGACCGTTTGTGCCTATGGAGTTCACTTTGGAGCTTGAATGTATAGTGCTCAGATTTGACGTCAGGAATTGCTGAGGCGACATGTTGATTCGTCCAGCAGAGGCGCAAAGTGCTCGATCCGGATGGGTGTACCGATTGAGTTGAGATGAGGCGAAAGAGAGGCTCGGGTAGGCGGTTAGATCCCGACCAGAGTCTGATGAAGATTGTCGGTCGTGGGGGCGGAGCTTACATCATCAGAAGTGGAACAATTCATTACCTCCAACCTCCACCACACCGAACGGTGGAGACTTGCTTGGATGGTGCCACATCATTCTTGGCGACGGCCTGAGGAGAAAGAGTTGTTGGTTATGTAGGTGGTGCATAAGTCCAAGATGGCAGTTCAGAGCCAAAGGATAAAAAAAGGGAATAGGAGAGAAGCTTTTTACTTCAATAGCTTCAACGTTTCTGTACATGGCGTCTTAATCCTCCACTCATATCACATCAGACTCCAAGGGCACAGTTGGGTGGAGAGCGAGAATGTCCAAGACCCACATGGTAAACTACCAACTCCCAAGAAGAAACACAAGAAACACAAGAAGATCAAGAAGTAGCAGAGGACATGGGCATTCCTCACGGCTTCCACCTAAATCCAGGATGCTTCCAATCGAGATCCTCGATATCCTTCTGCGACAGACCTTGAATCTCCTCGTCCGCATCCCTCCTATCACGCCTCCGGTTGTCCCACGGCTGCCAGAAATACAAAGCAATTGACAGGATCAAAATGGTACCACTCGTGGCCAAGTTGAGACCATTTCCAATGGGAAAGTTGGGACCATCAAAGGGAAGAAAGGCCCAGGTCGAGATCAAGCCACCAACATTGCCCAACATGACATTCGTGCCAATGGCGGAGGAACGCGCCGTGTCGGAAACGACGTTGGCGGACACGTGTGCGTTGCAGAGGGCCCCAAAGGTGAAGGCTCCGATGGCGATGACAAAGATGGCGCCGTAGCGGACTTCGGGGGAGGTGCTGGCGAGGAACATGATGTAGCCGGTCATCATGAGAGGTGCAGAGCCAATGAAGAAGACGGTACGTTTGTCAATCTTGGTGGAGATGAAGGGTACGACGAGGGTGGAGACGGCTCCGACGACGTATGGCGGGACGGTGCGGAGCTGTTGATGCACGACGGTCTGGCGAGGGTAGATGGTTTTCACGATGGTGGGGGCGAAGAAGGCCAGACCTTGCACAGTGATGTTGTCAAGCAAGAAGATGACGGCGGTGGCGAGGACGACGGGGTTGAAGATGCCACGGAGAATTTTCTTGTTGTCCATCTTGTCGAGCACCGCGGTCGTGCCCACACGTTCGGACTTGACACGTGCACTGGCCAAGATCTTCTCCTCGGGGGTCAACCAGCGTGCCGTCTCAGGTCGGTCAGTGAGGGTGATGTAGGCGATGAGGGACAGACCGATGGTAATGACACCTTCAATGGCGAAGATCATCCTCCAGCTGGTCACACTGCCAAAGCTGTCCAAGGTGAGGATACCAGAGGCGAGAAGACCACCGAATGCGCCGGCCAGAGGTGCCATGACGACGTACATGGCCAGGCGGAAGGCCAGCTCCTTGCGACGATACCATCGACTCAGGTAGTAGGCGATACCGGGAAGCATACCGGCCTCGAACAAGCCCAGGACGAAGCGCACGCCGCATATTTGTGCCTTGTTGTTGACGAAAGCACATGCCACGGAAGCAATACCAAAGCCGAGAGAGATGCTGGGGATGAACCAGCCCGGACCAAAGTATTTGCAGGCGAGGTTCGATGGAATCTCGAAGATGATGTAGCTGATGTAGAAGACGGACAGCACGAGGTTGTAGTCGTATCCGACCAGCTTCAAGTCTTCTTGGAGACCCGCCAGACGTGCATTTCCTGGTACAAACACACAAACACACTATCAGCTCATGCATGACAACAGCACCCACAGGTGGAAGGAGAGCTCAGCTAAGCCAAGCATAGGCAAAGCATACCGATATTCGCACGATCGATGAAGCAGAAGAGGTACAAGGCAGCGACAGTCGGAATGATGTACAAGTCAATCTTCCTTCGCAGCTTCGCTTCGACCTTGGGGTCAAACTCGACCAGGGCATTGCCGTAGCTGTAAAGGGCAACAGGTCAGAATTCAGTATGGTCGACATGATTCATCCATGGGAATGGGAAGACGGGTCACGGTGTTCGTCATCTGTTGCTCTGGATGAACTCACTGGTCTGTCGCTAGATGACCTTGGGCAGCGGCGACATCCACATCCACGCTGACGACATGCTGGCCATAGTCGTCCGACTTCTCGTTTCCCGTCGACTCATAGTCGGAGGAGATAGGTGCCATTGGCCTCTTTTCTCTCTCCTGATCCCGAAGTCTCTCTTACGCGCTCTCTCTCTCTCTCTCTCTCTCTCTCTCTCTTCTGATCCGGGTCTCTGGAAGGTAAATGGACGGAATGAACGAATGAGGGGCAGGCGATTGAAACTGTGGAAATGGCGAGATAGTGTGCCGAGTGTGGCGAGCAGATCTGCGGCGAAAGTAGGGGAAACCTGGGAAAGTTTTGTGGGGGAAGTAAAACCTGGGGAGAGACGGCGGCGGCGACAGCGGCGGGTCAACCAGATATATATAAGTCGAGAAGAGCGCAAGAGGCGGGCGCTAGCGCGGTGGTAGTGCAACGAAGAAGTGAATAGGCCGAGGCCAATGGTGAGAGGAGAGAGGTTGAAAGGCGAGGGCGGTGGAGACACAGAAGAAGACGAGGTGGGCAGGAGGGAGGATAGATTGCCGTCGACGAGAACGGCATGCAGAGTCGATGCAGTGGGCCAACACCGGAAAGCTGAAGCTGTACCAAGGGGGAATAGAAACAGCGGGGATATCCTTGGAAAGTCTTGGCGGGCGCATCTCCGACCATGTTCATTCGTCTCTACTGGAGCTAGGTACAGGATGTTGATAATGGAGGCTTTAATCGAGGTGGGGATACTGTCCACTTGGTCCTTTTAGACTGTTCTAGTCTTTTTCCTCGAGAGGAGACTCCCACAACACCTCGAAGCTTACCTTATCTTACCTTCTTGTGAGCCTGTGACCTTTACCTCTCAACAGCTCGGATCGAAAACGTGGCAGATCGAAAACGTGGCATGGTAGACAGATCCGGTACATGCAACATCTACATGTAGCTGTCGGGTATTGTTGTCGTACAACCTGTACATGTAATATGTACCTACATACATACCTAGGTACGTACCTGACATGTACATGTTGATGATGTTGTGCTCACGCACACGCACATGGCTACATGGACACGCGCGAGCTGCATACGAGAAGAGGCACATGGGGCATGGGCATGAGAGATGAAGAGCATGGCAGCATGCTCAGGATGTATGTAATATGTATGCTGTATGTATATAGTACCTCTTACCCAGTAAGGCTAGTATGAGTAGAATCGCATTGTTTCACTTTGAGCGAGGCTTGGATCTCGTGTAGACTGGGGCTGACGGGGAACGGGCATGGAGCCATCCCCACTAGACCGCTTCGGGAGGGACCCTGCCATGGATTGCATTATTTATTATGATTGCAGTCAGGCATCCAGGCAGCCAATGTCAGCTCAGCTAGGCAGCCTTACCTTACTAGTACAGTAAGAGGTACCGTACCTGACCTGGTACCGTAGTGAAGCTGAAGTCACCACTCCCAGTCAGCGAGCTCCTTGAGAGAGAGAGCGTCGGAGAGTCTCGCCGCCGTCGCCGCCACCACCACCACCACTCCCTCGTCATCTCCGCTCCGACACCTCCCACGACGCGACCACTACCGAGCTGACCACTTTCGGGACACGAAAAGAGACGAGAAGAGAAGAGGGAATAGACGAGAAGTGAGACGAGATTGGACGGGTGCATTCGTCAACGCCCATTCCCTACCAGACCACACCACACCACACCATATCATACCACATCCTACCCGTACGAGGAACACACGGCTACCGATATCCGCTTCCGCCTCCTGCCCGGCCGGCCTCCTGCGCCTCGTAGTCGTCGCCGTCGTCTGCCTCCTCCTCTTCCTCCTCTTCCGCGCATTCCGCCGCCATTGCACCACCATCGCCATCATTCAATGTAAACACGTGCCGCCATGGGCCGATACTACACCCTCCTGCTGGCCCTCTGCGCCGCGGCTGCCACCGTCTCCGCCCAAGGTGTCCTCACCAACGGCAACAGCCAATTCCCCGCCTGCGCCCAGGCCTGTCCTCTGCTCGTGCAAGCCGCTCAAGCCTGTTCAGCGACTGATGTTGCCTCACAAGGCGCATGGGTCTGCTTCTGTCAGTCCGCCTATCTGACAAACTTGCGCTCTTCTGCCACCGGCATCTGCGATTCCACCTGTACCAATCCCACCGACCTGCAGCAAGTGAGTACGTGGTATAACACCAACTGTGGAAGTGATTTTGGCGCTTCGGAACACTCCGGATCAGGTGCCACGACCACCACCCCTGCTGCTGGTGCTGGTGCTGCTGGAGGCGCGACGCCGCCAGAGGATGAAAGCGCTCCTGCGGCTGCGACCTCGTCGACCTCCCCGTCCTCTTCTGCTCCTCCCTCGTCTAACGGCCAGAATACTCTGAATGGAGTCAGCATTGGCGCCGACGCGCCCGGAACGTGGTGGTCGAATCATTATGTGAGTTGCAGCGGTCCATAGAGGTGCTGTCCGCCATTCATGACTCACAACACTGACTTGCTTCTCAGAAATGGATCATCATGGTCATCATCCTTGCCATCGCCTTCCCTCTCATTGCCTGGGGAGCCGTGTGGTTGAAGAGACGCCACGAGCGCAAGCAAGATCAAATCACCACGGGCTTCAACGAAGGCATCACCAGACGACCGCACATGACGGAGAAAGAAATGAACGGGTAAGAATGAAGCCCGGATAGATTTGAATTTAGAATGATATCATGTGATCTTGACCGAAACAAAAAAAAAGAAAACAACAATCCTCGCTTTGGCCTTGATCTCCAACTCTCCCCACGACTACCTTGATTTCCTCTCTCCCCGTACACCATTACCAACAAAGAGCTCAACGCTGACATCTCTTTCCCCATTCCCTTTTGTGTCATTAGCTCGACCATCTCCGTCCCCTTGTCCGCCATCTCCGTCGGACCCGCCGCCATTCACGCTGCCATGTCTGGCTCTGGCTCTGGCTCTGGTTCTGGAACCGGACTCGCACATGGTTTCCCCGCTAGTGGAAGAAGCTCACCCCAACGCACTCGAGAGGCGTACATGCCGTTTGGATATGGATACATGAGGAGTACGAGCGCAGCTTCTTCTCGGAACGTCAGTGGTAATTTTGGTGGTTTAGATGAAATTAGTCATAGTAATAGTAGTATTCATCCTTTAGCGAGAGGGGTTGGAGAAGGAGGAGGTAATGATTGGAATAATAATGGTAATGATCACGCTGTGACGAGAGGTGGAGGTGGTGGTGGTGGTGGTGGTGCTAGCGGCTATGAGCCTCAAAAGGGTAAAATGGTCTTGGTGAGGGAACAGAGTGTTGATGAAGAGAGTGGGAGGGATGGAAATCGTAATGGGCATGGAAATCCGCATAGAAATGGTCACAATGGAAACGGAAATGGGCATGGAAACGGGCATGGAAATGGAAATGGAAATTCAGGATGGGTATAACCTGGAACATGGATAGAGAGGGGGCTTGTATGAGAAGATGTTCCCATCGGGGAGTCTTGGAGATACATGTACCTATAGGAAATGAAACTAGGTACCTACCGTATGTATATACCTCCTACTTTCATATACCTGATAGATGCCCGGACTCTCAATAGGACGGGAGCGACAGGCCGAGTCATGTGACTTTATACCTACCTACCTTATCTGGTACATGACTTGAGTTGCCCTAACAATAAGCCCCTTCCTCTTTTTCTACCTCCTAGTATTACCTACCTGGTAGTAACGTCGTCCCAAGTCAGTCTAACCTCATCGATTTATCCTATCCGTAAAAAAGTACAGATACACCTACCTAACAGAAGGCACACTGTAACACAAAAGGTAGTCGCTCTTGCAAATCACTCAAACATAAGCAGGAATAAGTCATGCACATTCTTTTCACTTAATTCATTTCCATTGAACTCTGTACATGGAGTCAGAGACAAAAAGTCATCTCGCATGATATCTCATATGCGGGACCAACATAAACCATCAATGGTCCCTCACACCGCACGAATCGCTAAATCCAATCTTGCCAAATCTGTCATTTCCTCGTATTGCCACTTGCTTCCACCGTCACCATCGTCCCAATCCGTCGCTTAGTTCTCTGCGAAGCGAGTCAGATTACGGTCTTTGTCATACATGATAGATAAGACAGCCTGAAAACGAACTGTCATACCTTTCTTCTCACAGGCGAGGCTTCGACTTACTTGCGGCAGAAGTCAGATCAAATCGGTCGGCATTGGCCAATTTCACCCAAACGTCGACAAAGTCCTGCTTGAACTTGGCCTCTCCATCAGCTGCACCATACACTTCCGAAATGGCACGGAACTCGGGGTGCGATCCGAAAATCAAGTCGACACGGGTGGCAGACCACTTCTTTGAGCCAGACTTGCGGTCCACTCCCTCAAACACATCGTGGCCGGTAGGCTTCCATTCCGTGTTGAGGTCGAGGAGGTTCTTGAAGAAGTCGTTGGTGAGTTGGCCGGGTGTCTTGGTGAAGACACCGTGTGCGGAACCGTCATAGTTCTGGTTCAACACGCGGAGACCGCCGACCAGGGCAGTGAGTTGTGGTGCCGATAGAGTGAGGAGGTGTGCACGGTCGACGAGGAATTGCTCGGCCGAGACACGAGAGGTCGACTTGCCGTAGTTACGGAAGCCATCGATGCGAGGCTCCAAGTGGGAGAAAGACTCAATATCGGTCTGCTCCTGGGTGGCATCAGTGCGGCCGGGAATGAAAGGCACCTTGAGACCAGAAGCCTGCTCAATGGCAGCACTTCCCGCCAGGACAATCAAGTCGGCCATCGAGACCTGCTTTCCACTGTCCTTTTGCACCTTCTCCAGTACGCCGAAGACCTCCTGGAGCTGCGAAGGGTTGTTGACCTCCCAGCTCTTTTGTGGCTCCAAGCGAATGCGAGCTCCGTTGGCGCCACCGCGCTTGTCACTTCCACGGAAGGAAGATGCAGCGGCAAAGGCAACAGAGATGAACTTGGTGGGCTCGGTGCCGGTGGAGAGAATCTGCTTCTTGAGAGCCTCGACGTCCTGCTCACTAATAGTCTGGGCTGGTGGGTCGGGGATGGGGTCCTCCCACAACGAGACCTCCTTGGGGATCTCTGGTCCGAGCCATCGGGAACGAGGACCCATATCACGGTGGAGCAGCTTGAACCACGCACGTGCAAAAGCATCGTGGAGCTTGTCTGGATTCTCGAGGAAGTTGCGGGAGATGACGTCAAACTCAGGGTCGAAGCGAAGAGCGAGATCTGAAGTCAACATGGTGGGCTTCAGCTTGACGTTGGGGTCGTATGCGTGAGGAATGATCTTGTCGTCCGTCTTGGCCACCCACTGGTTGGCACCAGCTGGCGACTTGGTCAGCTCCCAGTCGTACTTGTACATGTACTCTAGGTATTTGTTGCTCCACTGCACTGGTGTGCTGGTCCACGTCACTTCGAGGCCGGATGTGATGGTGTCTGGACCCTTGCCAGACTTGTACTTGTTCTGCCAGCCAAAGCCCTGTGCCTCGACGCCAGCAGCGTTGGGCTCAACGCCCAGGTTCTCAGATGGACCAGCGCCGTGAGTCTTGCCAAAGGCGTGGCCACCAGCGATCAGTGCCACAGTCTCCTCGTGGTTCATGGCCATGCGGCCAAATGTGGTCTTGATGTCACGGGCAGATGCGAGTGGGTCAGGGACACCGTCTGGTCCCTCGGGGTTGACATAGATCAGACCCATGTGAGCAGCCGCCAGCGGCTTCTCGAGGTCACGAGAGTGAATGTCGGCATGACCCTTCTTGGACTGGTCGCCATCGACGACACCATGGCCGGCGATACCCTCCTTGCCGTCCGAGTATCGAACCTCGTTTCCGAGCCAGGTGGTCTCGCCACCCCAGTAGACGGACTCGTCAGCCTCCCATGTGTCAGCACGACCGCCTGCAAAACCAAACGTCTTAACGCCCATGGATTCCAGGGCAACGTTTCCAGTGAGGAGGAAGAGATCCGCCCAGGAGATCTTGTTGCCATACTTCATCTTGATAGGAAGAAGCAGTCGACGAGCCTTGTCCAGAGAGACATTGTCGGGCCACGAGTTGAGAGGGGCAAAGCGCTGCTGTCCCTCGCCACCACCTCCCCGACCATCGAATACACGGTACGTGCCTGCACTGTGCCATGCCATTCGGACAAACAGACCACCGTAGTGGCCGAAATCAGCAGGCCACCACTCTTGCGAGTCGGTCATCAATGCATTGAGATCCTTCTTGACGCCAGCGTAGTCGAGGCTCTTGAATGCTTGGGCATAGTCAAACTTGCCACCAAAGGGATCGGTCCGGTCAGTGTGCTGGCGGAGGATGCTGGTCCGCAGCTCATTGGGCCACCAATCTCTGTTTCGGGTTCCGCCACCACCCACGGGTGCGGTCTTGATTGGGCACTCTCCCATGGTGCTGGTGTTTCTAGAGGTAGTTGTACGAGTGGGAGGAGGAGGAGGAGGAGGAAGAGGAGGAGTAGTGGTAGTGGTATACAACGGGTAAGTGTGCAAGATGTGCTGCAGATGAGCAGAGTATGTAGTAGAGTGTCAGTGGATGACAGAGAGAGTGAGTGAGAGGGAGAGGGAGAGGGAAGGGGCGGAAGAGTGGCAGGAGGTGGCTGTTTTGTTATTGCTGACCCTCCTCAGGCACATTGTTGGACAGCGACAGCGAAGCTAGCCCAGCGGACCAGGAATCTTTCGGGAAGGCGCGGGGTAGAGCAGAAGCACCTCTTGCAGGCGACGTTGTGATTCGCTGGACGGGGCTGCTCGTAGTGGGGTGACCAGCATCGCTCTCGCCCTCGGTGACCCTTGCCTTTTTCAGACAGCGAGAGCGGGCTGCTGGGTTTGGCTGCTGCCTCGTACTGCGTCATGGACTGTGTCTAGTACCTGACCTGAGACGGGAGGTTCCAGTGTGTGAATTCGTGATTTCGTGTGCAGGTGCCGTGCCTTTCTCGCGATCGCCAGTCGCCGCTGCCAAGACCACGTAATGTACCCAGCCTGGAAGGTCAGGTTAGTAGTCTGAGAAGCACCCAGAAGCAGGGGCACGTTGGGAAGTCTGAAGCCCGCTCCGCAGATCTTCATGCCTCCTCTCCCTCGGTGGAGCAGTGCCCGTAATAGACAACGCGAGCTGATCGATCGCCCGCCGGGATCGCGGAGAGACATGATGCCTTTATCGCCACTTTATGGAGAGAAGAGAGCTGTAGGAGGGATGCATGCAGGACAGGTACTCACTGCGATGTGGTGCATTTCTTACCTAAAGGTACCGAGATAGGTTCCCCTCGGCGAGATTGACTATGCCGTGTCGGCAGCAGACAGCAGAGTGAAATACACACACATCCAAGCATCCATGCGTGGCTGGGGTCAGCTCGCCATAGCATTCTTTCCGCACCAGCAGCAAACACTCACACTCACTCAGCAGCCTCTCCTACCTCCTACCCCCAGCCAGGAGGCGATACTCCGTTTCCCACCCTGCAGAACCAATGCTTTGCTTTTCCCCCGAGTGTGACATGCAAGGCCGGCCCTGGACAGTCGTCCTTTCACTCACTTTCGAGCCCAGTACAGCGAGACAAGGTGTCCCATCTCGGGATCAAGACCACGAGAGGTCCATCAGGTGGCGCCCGTCTGGCACTAGCTACCAGACCTACCTCTCCTTGAGCACCCGCTGTACCTGCCAAGGATAGTCGAGACAGGAACGCCACTGTAGCGCAAAGCAGGTCCTCGCCATCGACAAATTTTCCCTTCGCCGCCCCCATCTGCTTCCTGCCGAGAGCTTCCCGAGAGTACCTGTCAGGTATGTAGGTACATATAGTCTCCCCGAGCTCACTCGTCTGCAAGGCAAGCTTCCGCCTCCGCTTTCTCTGTCTGTTCATGCAGGTTGAAGCATGAGAGCAGATGGTCCCAAGCATGGCGAGCCGAAGTCCACAGCACCAACACGACCTGAATGCAGCACAAGGGCGTCTGTCTGCCATGCCATCGTTTGATGATGGGGACTGCCGCTTCCATGCTGTACCACCTCATGTTGTTACCCGTCAAGTTGATCAACCTCTTCGACCAATCCAGGATCATGGACATGGAAATGGTCCCATTGGCCCTCGGTCTCTGCTCCGATCCAGTACTCTACAGTCTTCTACTGTCCAGGCTGTGTGGTGGACATTTCTTATCTAGCAGCAGGAATCCAAGATACTTCAGGTACCGCAGCTTACACCTCGTCCATGCGACGAGCCGACCTTGCCCTCGACGATAACGCCAGTACACCGTACCTACCCTACCTACCTCCTACCTGCATGCATGTGCATATGCTCCTGCCGACGAGCCGTGTACAGGGGCCGGTGTGGTGTCCTCGTATATATGCAGCAAGTGTATCCGACGCAATGTGGCTGACTCAAGTCTGTGTGTGTGTGTTTGTGCGTGTGTGTGACGAGGGTGCAGAAATGAGGTGCTGTCAGGTTGGACATCCCATACGGGCAGTTGAGTGGAGAGTGGAACGATCAATGTCTCTCCTGCCCATCTCAGCTTCTACCTCCCTGCCTGTTACTCAGCTGATACTTCTAGCTTCCAGCTTCTCTCTCACAGCCTTGCATACACTCCTTTCACATGGAATGCTCCCACTAGCAGCAGTCTCTGCTTCAAGATCACCAACAACAAATAACAGCCCCAAGGTTTCCCACTGATCTGCACACAGACCTCATTCAGCGCGCCTCCAGCCTCTCCATATCAGCATACGCATCCAGTACCAGAATTTTCAACAACTCCAGATCTGCATCCTGCAACATCTCCGGATACGCTCGAATACTGTCCCACTTGCTGGCGATTTCCCGAATCGGCCACCATCTCTGATCATTACTGTTCATCTCCGCCTCCGACACGCGGCGTACGATCCGGCTCGCCATCGACATGATCTCGCCGAGGAGCTCTCGGGTCGTGTAGCTGGCATTGTGCAGTCGGACATATCGGGGGTGGCTGCTGGGTCCAGTGAGGAGTTGTCGGATGGTTGTCGGCATGACTTCCCGTGGGTTGTTTCCGTGTTGATCTCGATGATGCTTTCTCCTCGATGATGCCCTTTCCTTCTCCTTTTTGCTTGTAACTGGGCTGGTGCTGATCTGCTACTGGTTGGGATGGAGGACAGAGATTTCTTTCCAATGAAAAAGATCAAATCGCCCTCAACCAGACCGCCACCATAGCCTGTATGTCCACACCCTCCAAAAGAACGTTATAGAGGAGATACCGCTTCTTGAGTACAGCAGCAGCAGACAAAAATCTGCCAATGTAGCTGTGGGAAAAAGGTGTCAATCGTTCCCCTTGGCCGTCATGGCCACGAACTGCACGCCCAAAAACTCTTACTAGCTCTCGTATTCCGAGTCTTGGCCTCGCCCTCATTCGACGTGGAAGTAATGACGGCAGCAGATGCGTAGGCTGGGCTGAGCTGACTAGCCTCTTTTCCGTCCCCCGAGAGAGAGAAAGCCCTGGCCAGTTGACAGCAATATGGGAAGTAGGTACCTGAGGAGTATTAACGATGATCGGTTCTTATCTGATCACAATCTGATAAGATGAAGAATAACAACGGTTGTGAAATGATGATGGTGATGATGATGATGATCGCCCGACTGTGATGATGAGATTTCTCGTCGAAAGGATCAGATTGTCCAGGTTCCCCCCCGCACAGCTCAAGCTAGGTAGGGTACATACTGTAAGTCAGGTCAGGTCAGGTCACACTCTCGCCGGATCTTTTCTGTTCCTTTTCACAATTTTCCTCTGTCGACGGAAAATCTTCCGATTCTCGGCGTAGTGGGGGGTAAAATCGACTTTCCATCACGGAACGGGACGGGACGGAACCGCAGGCGGCGGGCGGGTATATATCAGTCTTATCAGATATACTGCGTGGTGTCACGGTGGTTTGGGGGATATTAAAAAAGAAGAAGAAAATAAAAGGAAAAGAGAAAAAAGAAAAGAGAAAAACGAGACGATCGAGGGTAGAAGACAATAGGAGGTTTATTTGCGTCGTTTGGTTTTTTGTTTTCTTCCTAATCTAGAATAGGGTATCGCCGAAGTTTGCCTCTTTCTTAGTAGGAGTTAATCGATACGAACAATTAAGAATAAGAAAAGGAAAAGAGAGAGAAAAGAAAAGGAGAGGAAAGGAAAGGAAAGGAAAGGAAAGGAAAGGAAAGGAAAGGAAAGGAAAGGAAAGGAA